TACTTCAGCGTTCACTGCATCTGCGCGATCCCGACCCAATCTTCTTCGCTTCTGCTTGATGGGCTTGAAAGATGGGTCAACATTCAGCTCGTGGCATATTACGTCGATGCTTACCCCAGGTAGATCTTCAGCCGACCAGGCGAAGGTGTCGATGTTCTCCTTGAGGAATGAGATGAGCTCGGCCTTGAGCTCCTTGGTTAAGTCGCTGCCAATTTCCACACATCGTTCAGGCCGTTCGTCGTCGAGGCTGATGGAGATTACAGGATCCGAGGTAGGCTTCTTCTCCTCGCGCGCCTCCTCGATCTGTAATTGCTATAACTGTTTAGATATAGCCTTCTCTTCACTCCGGCCAAGTTTCGATTTTTTGTGATCCGTTTCAGCCTTCACTTCAGTGACAGGGTTTCGGAGTTTGTGTGCTGCCATGAAACACATCCGAGAATTTTTCTGACTGCCCCAAATCGTTTTCACGCCATTAGGGGTCGGGAACTTGACACACAGATGATATGTTGATGCGACAGCTCGCATTAGATTTAACCACGGGGTTCCCATTATGACGTTGTAGATGGTAGGTCGATCGGTGACTGAGAAGTTGACTATTTTTGTTACCCCGCCGGCTCGGACTGGTAGTTGGATGGTTCCAAGCGTCATCAAAGTTTCCCCCGAAAATCCGAGGACAGGCCTCGGGGTCGGAATCACCTGTGACATGTCGATGTTCATTCGTTGGAGCGTTTCGCGAAAGATTACGTCAATGGTGCTGCCGGTGTCAATTAATACTCGGTAAATATCGTGGTCTCCTATCGCTAAAGTGACGACGATTGGATCGTTATGCGGCATGTCGAGCCCATTTGTCTCGCTTTCTTCGAACGTGATCACGTCGTTAGGTCGATCGAAGCGTCTCGTCCAGTTGCTTGGCGTCTCGGCTCGGCGCTGATAAGCTTTGATTGCCGCTACGGTGTCAGGACAGTATGGTGATCCACCCATTATGGTAAGAACCTTCTGTCGCGTACCATCTCGGTCTTCGTCCTCCGTCCCTCGGGTTCTTTTCTGAGACTCCTGGTTCCTTGGTTCGGGATCTCTTCCCGGGTTAGTCTGCTCGGGCTCTGGCTCTGGCTCGAGGTCCTTAAGAGTAACGTTTGTTCCGAGTTCTCCAGCTAGGAATTTGGTTGCTAACTTGGCTCCGAGGCTTCGGCATCTCGAGGTATGATGGCCGAAAATTTTGTGGTGTTCGCAATATTCTTGATCATTGCTCGGTGGCTGATCCCTTGTCCAGGTGAAGGACTCTCTT